GCATGTCATTGCGAATTCAGTTATGTAAGCCCTGACGGAGTAAGCCATGTGCGTCAAATAGCAGATAATTCATAAATGCACGAACGGTGTAAGTGGTGAGTGATATGCCGAAGTAAACCATGTGTATCATATTGGAATAAGTCATGTGAGTCGTATCAGCTTAAGTAATATATTTCCTTTTGGTTTAAATCATGTGTGCCCTAACGAAGTAAGCCATGTGTGTCATGCTGGAGGAAGTCATGTGTTCCCTTTGCCGAATAGATCGTTCATGCCATATGCGAAGGAAGTCCTGTGAGCCCTAATAATATCTTTTACAGGAGGTCCGACAACAACGCCACCCTTGTGTGTTGATACGCTGACCACGTGTGGTTCATTTGACATCCCAAAGGCTTGTCTGGACTTTCCAAAATGGGCTTCGGAAAGCTGTAGATTCACGTGCAAAGTCTGTACAGGTAAATATAACACGTGATTCTCCTCCTTTGTCAACCTCTGTTTCGTTCAGTGGAAGGGAGGGGATACACATCTTTGTGTAATACCAGACTCAAAGTACTAAGGTAGTTTGAATATTTCGGTAAATAAAAATAGAGTAATGTTAACGCAAGTGTCACGATAGCCCAGTCGGTAGAGGTTTGAATACGTAACCCTATGTGAATAACTGATGTGTGTTTGACGATTCTTACCTGCGGCGGTTTGAGTTTCACAGGATTCTGAGACACAGACCAGTCTGTGCCGACGTGGTTGTGCCTTTAGACAAAATAATCTAACCATGTGATCTGGATGGCACGGGATGGACCTCCCGTATCCGGTGGTAACCGGCATAATGTTGCTGTTCATGTTTCTTATAAATTTGAGCAGATAGAATATCGTACTTGACTCCCATTATTTCTATTTCAGTGTTAGAGCCACCCATCGTCGTACCTCCAGGTGTGGGGCGGAAGTGACGTTTCTATTCCTTTCACTGCTCAGTATATATGCAATAAATACTTTCATTGAATCGATACAATTACTTGGTTGCCGTTTTATTTCTTATTGCATTCCATAAAACACTGTCTCTCAGAATTAACGATAAATAATATGTTATGTTCTCACAGATACCTCAATATTTCAATGGAAGAAGAAACACATCTTCATCTGTTACAAAGTCATATATTTTCTTTGGACACAATTTTCTTGACTTTTTCAAAAATATCACTATTTCTTTTGACATTTGGTTAGGTAGATAAATCAAGCTCAGAGAATAACTCTACTGATTCAACAGTTAATGGACATATGAATTCGTGGATAAAGGGTACCCACTATATCAAGGAACAGAAATCCCCACGGAATTAATTATTTAACAATACTCACTTAATTACGGAAGTATTGGCTTGCAAAACCACACTTTCTAGAATGAATTTCAATTAATGATGTATGATGCGTATAAGTTAAAATTTGTATTAAATATGCTATTCACTTGTGTGTCTTTTGTACATACAATCTTTGTAATAGCAGGTGGTAGACATTGCGTATGAAATATTAGTCCTTGATGTTTGCCATACCTAGCACGCCACGTTTTAATTCACACGAATCGTGGCACGGTCCAGAATATACACATGTACTTGTTTTTGTAAAATTATTAGAGATAAGAATTTATGCCCATCTAGATTTTGACTTTCCTTCCGATCACTTTGGAATTTCTTCAGTCGCCTCCTAGGTTTACCAATTAGAATCTTATCATCACTGACGAGTTCTAGAAGGACGAAACAGCAATATGATGCAGTTTAATTAATTGTTTAGCTCCACTGTATCTTATTTAGATATTGAAATGTGCTATGCACTTCTATATCTTTCATATATACAATCTTATGGCTACTTCAACGAAGGAGGAAATATGGTATGCTACTTTGAACACACTGGAATAAACTTCTTCTCTAATAGTGAAAAGCATGAAGCAAAGGTAACTAATGGTTAATGCTCTCTGACTTCATGTAAACAGTGCATGAACAAGAAGGACACGTGAAAAATGGAACAGAAGTAAAGAGCAGAATAGATATCTGCAATAAAACCAGTTGAGAATAGATCAAGCACTATTTGTATTAGATGCACATATGAAACGCAGTTGTTTCGACAAACAAAATGTCTGGTTTCTCAAAAAGTTGCCAATGGATAGAAATACACGAGGGAGGGGGTGGGGTGGGGGGTTTGGGGGAGGTATTACAATGTCTTGAGGCTCACACAGAAAAAGCAACATATTTGAATTTTACTGCTTTATTTTTCGGCAGCTTTAAATCTGAAAGTAAACAAAGCTCGCGTCTGTGTTACTCGATCCTTATTTCAAATCCACACCTCAGGATTTACATGACAGGTATGTTATTGCGCATTCAGATATGGCGTCCAACAACTTTATACTTGTCTGCAGACATTATAACACTTCCTGTATACATAAAGAACTAGACTGATTTGATAACAACAGAAGTACTACCTATACATCATGTAAGCTGTCCAAAGAAGAAATACTTTCTAATTGTGCTTTAATATTTTAATAATTAAGATTGCATATACATGATACGGATACGGACCTCCTCTATTTGAATTGGATTGACAAAACCTCGCTATAAACATTGATTTAAAGCCGGCTCATCTTGCTGTTTGACCAAACTTTTGTCCAAATGCCTTTCTTCTACTACAGCTGCTGCTATTTGACCAATCTTCAACAACCTCTTCCAAAAACAAATTATTCTCTTAGAACATTTGAACTTTCTACTCTGCACACCGCCATGCACTATTCTAAACCGAAATAACGACTTAGGCCTTCTGTTATGATAACTTTCTTTGGCAGTAAAGGTGACGGTACACATATATTGCTGTGAAATATACTGAAGCATATTCCGTGAAAAATACGTCAAAATCATAAAAAAACTACACGGAGGACGAAATCATTAAAAATGGTGGTAAGATCTTCCAACCAAGTACTGGCATACCTATTGGAACTAGCTCTGTCCCTCTGTTGGCAGAATTGTTTTTTCCCATCGTAGAGATTATCAAAACAGGTCACATATACGTTTAATTTCGCTATCAATGGTGTCTTGTCTTCAGAAAAGAATTTCATTGACCACGTCCATCGTATGTAGTTGTAGATGTAGTTTGATCAATATATGAGGAAGTTTTACGGTTGTCATAGTGATCTCTTGGATAATTATGCTATTTCCTGATGCGATATGAAGCTGGACGTGCTCGTTACTTTGCTTCTTGTTTCCGTTGTTGTATGCCTCGTTCTCATTTGAGAACTTAACATTACGAACTTGGATTTCAAAGACTAACATAGTAGGTGTTGTTTATGACCCAGAAGAGGCTTACTCTTACGGGACACGTGGTCTTACTCTACTTAATCGTTTTCAGAAGTCTCCGATGAAATCTTTTTTTTTTTTTTGTTTGTTCAAAGTTTTTCTTGTCCATCTTGTTTGCCGATCATTGATACCCGATCGTAGAACGCAATATTTTGGTCCTTTAATCTGCCCATCACTGCAACACTCAGCTATCTTTTATTCTAATCTCCTGCTCGGATATTTTTCCCAGTCAGGGAAGACCCTTGTGGCTTTGTATTGAGAATACATAACTATGGTTAAACTCCTTTGATATCCCCCAAAAAGGTTGCCATAATGTTGTCGGTGAACCTGGTGACTTTGAACTTGTTCGCCTAGTCTAAGATGATGTTGCGTGTTACCATTTCATCGATTCCTGTTTACTCTCCTTATAAATACGATAAATATAGTTCATCAAACAGGTTACAACCAAAAAATGATACATTTCGGCTTTCGTTGTTATAAAGGCTCTACTGTGGGGGATCTTCGGAAGCTCGTGTCATCTGAAAGCAGTCTTTGGATACATTCGGTACATACTTTGGATATGTTTGTCAGGATGTATGCCATGCATATATTCCTGTAAAAACCTTTTGCCTCTACTAACTCGTAAAGAGTAATACAGTGGTTTTCTATCACGATTTTATGCGAATGTTTTCTGGGCATCATCTGGCTGATGGCCGTTGTGAGTGATTGGTCACCTTTCAAACCTACCACGCTGAAATTCCTTCACCAATCATTTGATAGTTGCAGAAGGTGAAAACAACCAATAATTGGCATTTACTCCCTCTTCAACCTGTTTGTGAGATTGACATTCTTGGACTAGAAATTAGGACTCCGCTCTGTACTCAGTTTTGTCCATTTAACCAAGTCACAAGGGATTTGTCTCTCCAACAATGTATTGTAAATAAACAATCTCTGCCTGCAATATGATCTTCATGACATAAGTAGCTGGAACAAAGATGTGTCTGAAATTTTCATTAATCAGGAAAATAGGTTAATATCAGATTAATTTTAAAATCGTTCATTAATTGATGAAAATGGTTCAAATTGTCTATGAGCTACATCCTCTAAAGTATGGGTTAACTCGACGTACCACGAGTTGATAGGTGAGACACAAAACTCAAAATATCCGTCACAGTTGAATGAAGTTCTTTGCAATGGCAAAGGAATTTCAGTTTATCAAACCTATAAGACTTGTTCAGTCTTGTGTAGGACTGGTTAAGTATTATAGGACTGGTTAAGTGTTATAGGACTGGTCAGGACTTGTTAAGATTGTTCATCATTATTAATGATGATTTTCAACATAAATGCATACTTGCATGTGTGTCACTTCACAGTGAATAACAAGTCAACAACAACGCTCTCGAAATATTTTTATTAGCATGTTATACAATATCACATGCAGACGAATAATGTGTCTAGTCATGTCAATGTTAACAAAACATATCTTGTACCTCTAGTCAGTTGAACGTTAATTCATTTCATAAGTAGTGTATAACTTCGTTCTCAAAAAGAAAGTTGAAATGATCTGGTTGTCATAACAGTAACGTTTTTCACCTCATAGGTATTAAACTAGTTTTATCTTCACAAACATGTACAGTCTAGACTTAATAAGGTATCACACATGTGTAAGAGCCTCGTTCTGAAATTCAGTGTAAACAAAGGTCGATATGGTAGTAAATACGTGGCTTGTTCTCTTGTTCCTCTCCATACACGCCACATTTGTCGGGGTAAGTGTTAAATTTACTACTATACAATTTCCATAATCACAGACCTCTTTACACCTACAATTCTAGTTTCTGGGACAACTCGGGAGGAGAGGGGGTTGTCAGGAAACTGTAAGAATATAACTCATTTTACCTAGAACTACTTGATATTATGTAAAAAAAAAACTGTATTCAAATGGTGGTATGCAGGTATGATATTTTTAGTATCAGAATCCGAAATGAAAACAAAACAGATACATAGATCAAATATGTTTTCAAAGTAAAATATGGTGCATGGATAATTGATCCTATACCCAAAACAGAAAAACAGAAAGTAGAAAAGAAACATTGTACGTAAATATTTATAGCCAGATCATAGACAAACGACAAAGTGAACCATCATTCATCAATAATTTTTGTCAGACCAAAGGCACAACGTCAAAGGGATACAATGTACACGATTCATTTTTCTCAGACCAATGAAAGAATGAAAAAGTGAAACATTGTTCCTAAACGAAAGGTAGAACGGCAATGTGATACATTCAGTGATAAATCTACATACGGGTCCTAAGTCCTGTACTAATTTTAATTTTAATGGAACTCGTAAATTTCTTAAACTACCTAAATTTGACAAATGTTTAAATAATAACGTTTATAAGAACACATGAAATAAACGATGATTTGACGTTGTTCCTAAACGAAGGACACAGCGACAAAATGATCCATCGTACATGAAACAACAAAGTGATACAACGTTCCTAGACCTAAGATCAACATATTGATACACTGTACTACATACAGAACGTCAAAGTGATACAACGTTCCTAGACCTGAGATCAACACAGTGATACACTGTACCACATACAGAACGGCAAAGTGATACAACGTTTCTAGACCACAGATCAACATATTGATACACTGTACCACATACAGAACGGCAAAGTGATACAACGTTTCTAGACCACAGATCAACATATTGATACACTGTACTACATACAGAACGACAAAGTGATACAACGTTCCTAGACCTAACATCAACATATTGATACGCTATACTACAGAACGACAAAGTGATTCATTGTCTGTGAACCAAAGTTAATATATACATATATGTTCCAGAATAATGTACTAAACAGCTTCAATAATATATATTTGAACTTCACAGATTTCCTAAAATAATTATATGTATTCTGAGAGCGATTGCCATTACAGTCGATGAAACCATGTCTTAATTACCTTGCGTTGGTCTTTTTTGCAGGGTAGATATTACAAAGCCCAGAGACTAGAACGACAAGTACCACCTCATGGAGGTAAGTGTGTTGTGTTATATCTACTCATTAAGTAAAGGTACCACAAAATGGAGATAAAAGCGTTTCATCAACAAGATGTTCTTATTAATACACACAGTAAAACGATAGATTAAATAGGTGTACAACACTGACATAATTGACAAATATGTCGTTATTTCTCAATAAGTAGTGATTAATTGAAATAAAGGAAAAGTAAACATGTCTTTCAACTGGGATCTCGTAAACTTATGTCCCTCAATCATTTCTCATTTGAATCGTAGGAATAGATGATATCTTGTCGCTAATTTTTGGTTTGTTAGAACGCTCTTTTCATAATTCTCATATGAAATAGAGGGTCTGGTAGGATCATATGTACACTTGAAGTTGGTATTTTTCAATTGATACTTAATATTTACATTTTGCGATGTAGTAAGTTTAATGTCACCTGTTCACCATTGTGACGTCACATACAGGTACAAACCCTCATTGCCAGAACAAAATTGATAACTGTGAGGAACACATTGGCCAATATCTCACCATGTGCAGTCCAGACTCTCCGTTTTATGAATGGGCAACCACGAACTGTAAGGCCTACTGTGGTGTCTGTCAAGGCCAGTCAAGGTCATGAAAACAGTAAAGGTAACGGATATTAGGTCAATGTCAAATCAGTCAAATAGTGACAACTGAATTTTTATATTAAATATGTAATTGTTGTTTTGTATATGAAACCTTAGGATAGGGATAAATATTGTTTTTCATGTTTGAACAGCAGAAGTATCTAGCCAATGTAGTGTTTTCGTTTTTCAAACACTTTAAGTCCTTTAACATAGGGATCTTCTAATGCGGTTTCCAATGGAAATATTTTTCTTGATTAAATAACCATTATGTATGTCATGTCATTTTCTATTTCGATCCTTGTGCTCTGACAGTTGAAAGTGGAATCTTGATGTATTCTTTATAAATTTGGTCGATGTTTGTGCTTGAATATTCCTTGATATATCGAGGAGGTTCAGCCGCTTTAAACAATTTCTTATTGCACCATAGTGTTTGTTACTTAAGAAGTGAAACAGTAATACTGGCTGTTTGATCTTCGAAATCATTTTTCATTTCTTACGAAGTTCAACACAGGATTTATGAATCACGAAGGTATCTAACATCGGTTTGTAGTGTCAATATACATAACATGCACTGTCCTAACCGTCTGTTCTTGATGTCCGGATATATCCCACGCCAGGAGTTCCTTAGTTTGTCGTCATTGTTGGAGAAATGATGTTTTCTCGATCTATATGTATTTCTCTTTGATGAGTATCTTTTTATTATTATTCTTGTCTTGTCGTTTAGTTTCAAATTGTTTTCCTTCAACGTTCTGATTACCACTCGGAAGAATTCTAAAAAATAAATCTCTCAACGTGGATTTTTTAAACCTTCATTTTCGTTTTACTATACCATATACAACTTATTTCAGCACAAAGTAAAACCAACCACAACAATTTATAACCACACAATTAAGTAACAAGTACCTAACAACATATAAACGACATGGGGAAATACCAGCCAATGGCTTTTGAATAATTCCCAACTCCCTCACCGCGTCCACAGTCAACCATACATTTTTCTTATATATTGAATCACACATTCAAGGCAATGATGGTACATATAGATTAGTATAAATTATATCTCGACACTTACAAACCAATTACTCTTAGTCACAATACTTCTGAAGTAAACAAATATTCTCAAACTACATATTCCTTACATTCTTGACACATAAAATATAAATCTTACACAAACAGTTTACTCATATTTTAAACAAAAGGTATAAAAATATAGAAATATTCTAGTCACATTAGGGGACACAAATCTCGAAAAATCCATTTCCATTACATGGGTATAAATTTGTGTTTTGTGTTCGCTATATGGACCAATCAGTCCATAAACTTTATCTATTCGCTGAACTGAGTATAAACGTTTCTTATGTTTGTTTCCTGTGGGGTCACAGGTGGACCCACTACTATAGAACATATCTGCCTGGATGAGTTAAACTATTCTGACATATTCGATATACCCCAAGCATGTCTCGATTTCGCCAAACGGGCCTCCCAGAACTGTCACCGTACATGTGATATTTGTCAGGGTAAGTCAAGCACGTCATTGCGAATTCAGTTATGTAAGCCCTGACGGAGTAAGCCATGTGTGTCAAATAGCAGATAAGTCATAAATGCACGAACGGTGTAAGTGGTGAGTGTTATGCTGAAGTAAACCATTTGTATCATATTTGAGTAATTCATGTGAGTCATGTCAGCGTAAGTAATGTATTTCCTTTTGGTGTAAATCAAGTGTGCCCTAACGAAGTAAGCCATGTGTGTCATGCTGGAGGAAGTCATGTGTTCCCTTTGCCGAGTAGATCGTTCATGCCATATGCGAAGGAAGTCCTGTGAGCCCTAATAATATCTTTTACAGGAGGTCCGACAACAACGCCGCCCTTGTGTGTTGATACGCTGACCACGTGTGGTTCATTTGACATCCCAAAGGCTTGTCTGGACTTTCCAAAATGGGCTTTGGAAAGCTGTAGATTCACGTGCAAAGTCTGTACAGGTAAATATAACACGTGATTCTCCTCCTTTGTCAACCTCTGTTTCGTTCAGTGGAAGGGAGGGGATACATATCTTTGTGTAATACCAGACTCAAAGTACTAAGGTAGTTTGAATATTTCGGTAAATAAAAATAGAGTAATGTTAACGCAAGTGTCACGATAGCCCAGTCGGTAGAGGTTGGGATACATAACCTCGTGTGAATAACTGATGCGTGTTCGACGATTCTTACCTGCGGCGGTTTGAGTTTCACAGGATTCTGAGACACAGACCAGTCTGTGCCGACGTGGTTGTGCCTTTAGACAAAATAATCTACCCATATGATCTGGATAGCACGGGATGGACCTCCCGTATCCGGTGGTAACCGGCATAATGTTGCTGTTCATGTTTCTTATAAATTTGAGCAGACAGAATATCGTACTTGATTCCTATTATTTCTATTTCAGAATTAGAGCCACCCATCGTCGTACCTCCAGGTGTGGGGCGGAAGTGACGTTTCTATTCCTTTCACTGCTCAGTATATATGCAATAAATACTTTCATTGAATCGATACAATTACTTGGTTGCCGTTTTATTTCTTATTGCATTCCATAAAACACTGTCTCTCAGAATTAACGATAAATAATATGTTATGTTCTCACAGATACCTCAATATTTCAATGGAAGCAGAAACACATCTTCATCTGTTACAAAGTCATATATTTTCTTTGGACACAATTTTCATAACTTTTTCAAAAATATCACTATTTCTTTTGACATTTGGTTAGGTAGATAAATCAAGCTCAGAGAATAACTCTACTGATTCAACAGTTCATGGACATATGAATTGGTGGATAAAGGGTACCCACGATATAAAGGAACAGAAATCCCCACGGAAATTAATTATTTAACAATACTCACTTAATTACGGAGGTATCGGTTTGCAAAACCACACTTTCTAGAATGAATTTCAATCAATGATGTATGATGCGTATAAGTTAAAATTTGTATTAAAATATGCTATTCACTTGTGTGTCTTTTGTACATACAATCTTTGTAATAGCAGGTGGTAGACATTGCGTATGAAATATTAGTCCTTGATGTTTGCCATACCTAGCATGCCACGTTTTAATTCACACGAATCGTGGCACGGTCCAGAATATACACATGTACTTGTTTTAGTAAAATTATTAGAGATAAGAATTTATGCCCATCTAGATTTTGACTTTCCTTCCGATCACTTTGGAATTTCTTCAGTCGCCTCCTAGGTTTACCAATTAGAACCTTACAATCCCTGACGAGTCCTAGAAGGACGAAACAGCAATATGATGCAGTTTAATTAATTGTTTAGTTCCACTGTATCTTATTTAAATATTGAAATGTGCTATGCACTTCAGTGTCTTTCACATATACAATCTTATGGCTACTACATTGAAAGAGGAAATATGGTATGCTACTTTGAACACACTGGAATAAACTTCTTCTCTAATAGTAAAAAGCATGAAGCAAAGGTAACTATTGGTTTATGCTGTCTGGCTTCATGTAAACAGTGCATGAACTAGAACGACACGTTAAAAATGGAGCAGAGGTAAAGAGCAGAATGGATATATACAATAAAACCAGTTGAGAATAGATCAAACACTATTGTATTAGATGCACATTTGAAACGAAGTTGTTTCGACAAACAAAATGTCTGGTTTCTCAAAAAGTTGCCAATGGATAGAAATACACGAGGGAGGGGGTGGGGTGGGGTGCTTGGGGGAGGTATTACAATGTTTTGAGGCTCACACAGAAAAAACAACATATTTGAATTTTACTGCTTTATTTTTCAGCAGTTTTAAATCTGAAAGTAAACAAAGCTCGCGTCTGTGTTACTCGATCCTTATTTCAAATCCACACCTCAGGATTTACATGACAGGTATGTTATTGCGCATTCAAATATGGCGTCCAACAACTTTATACTTGTATGCAGACATTATAACACTTCCTGTATACATAAAGAACTGATTTGATAACAACAGAAGTACTACCTATACATCATGCAAGCTGTCCAAAGAAGAAATACTTTCTAATTGTGCATTAACATTTTAATATTTAAGATTGCATATAAATGATACGGATACGGACCTCCTCTATTTGAATTGGATTCACAAACCTAGCTGAAAACATTGTTTTAAAGCCAGCTCATCTTGCTGTTTAACCAAACTTTTGTCCAAATGCCTTTCTCCTACTACAGCTGCTGCTACTACTACACTCTTATTGTTCTTATGGTAATTTTGCTTATTTAAGAAGTGGAATTAATAGTATGTGGGTGTTAAAGGACTCCAAATAGAATTTGACCAATCTTCAACAACCTCTTCCAAAAACAAATTATTCTCTTAGAACATTTGAACTTTCTACTCTGCACACCGCCATGCACCATTCTAAACCGAAAGAACGACTTAGGTCTTCTGTTATGATAACTTTCTTTGGCAGTAAAGGTGACGGTACACATATATTGCTGTGAAATATACTGAAGCATATTCCGTGAAAAATACGTCAAAATCATAAAAGAACTATACGGAGGACGAAATCATTAAAAATGGTGGTAAGATCTTCCAACCAAGTACTGGCATACCTATTGGAACTAGCTCTGTCCCTCTGTTGGCAGAATTGTTTTTTCCCATCGTAGAGATTATCAAAACAGGTCACATAGACGTTTAATTTCGCTATCAATGGTGTCTTGTCTTCAGATAAGAATTTCATTGACCACGTCCATCGTATGTAGTTGTAGATGTAGTTTGATCAATATAGGAGGAAGTTTCACGGTTGTCATAGTGATCTCTTGGATAATTATGCTATTTCCTGATGCGATATGAAGCTGGACATGCTCGTTACTTTGCTTCTTGTTTCCGTTGTTGTATGCCTCGTTCTCATTTGAGAACTTAACATTACGAACTTGGATTTCAAAGACTAACATAGTAGGTGTTGTTGATGACGCAGAAGAGGCTTACTCTTACGGGACACCTGGTCTTACTCTACTTAATCGTTTTCAGAAGTCTCCGATGAAATCTTTTTTTTTTTTTGTTTGTTCAAAGTTTGTCTTGTCCATCTTGTTTGCCGATTATTGATACCCGATCGTAGAACGCAATATTTTGGTCCTCTAACCTGCCCATCACTGCAACACTCAGCTATCGTTTATTCTCATCTCCTGCTCGGATATTTTTCCCAGTCAGGGAAGACCCTTGTGGCTTTGTATTGAGAATACATAACTATGGTTAAGCTCCTTTGATATCCCCAAAAAAGGTTGCCATAATTTTCTCGGTGAACCTGGTGACTTTGAACTTGTTCGCCTAGTCTAAGGTGATGTTGCGTGTTACCATTTCATCGATTCCTGTTTACTCTCCTTATAAATATGATAAATATAGTTCATCACACAGGTTATAACCAAAAAATGATACATTACGGCTTTCGTTGTTACAAAGGCTTTACTGTGGGGATCCTCGGATGCTCGTGTCATCTGAGAGCATTCTTTGGACCCATTCTGTACATATTTTGGATATGTGTAGTTTGTCATCATGTTTTTTTTATGTATTTATTCATATAAAATATCTGTTACTTCTACTGGCTCATTAAAAGTAATATAGCGGTTTTCGATCATGATTTTATGCCAATGGCCAATGTTTTCTGGGCGGCTTCATCTGGTCTGACCGTTGGTCGCCTTTCAAACCTGCCACGCTGAAATTCCTTCACCAAACATTTGATAGTTGCAGCAGGCAAAAATAACCCATAAACGGCATTCACTCCCTCCTAAATCTGTTTGGACTAGAAATAAGGACACCGCTCTGTACTCAGTTTTGTCCATTTAACCAAGTCACTAGGGATTTGTCTCTCCAACAAAAATGTTGTGAGCAAACAGTCGCAGCCAGCAATATGATCTTATAAGTACTTAGAACAAAGATTTGTCGGAAATTTTCATAAATCAGAAAATTAGGATAATATCAGATTGATTTTGAGATCGTTCTTTAATTGATAATTTTTTATGTTCAAATTGTCTATGGGCTACATCCTCTAAAGTATGGGTTAACTTAACGTTGATATGTGAGAATTATATATCGTAAAGTATTTATCAGATGTGCATATTTTTTTTTGGAGTAAGAACAACAGACATGTTTCATGAAAAACTCACATAGTTTAATTATCAAAAATATGACAATGTACAAGTATAGCAAAATATTGCAGTAATCAAGTTCATTTCATGCTATTATGTTTTTGGGGACTGTAAACAACTTGTATTTTGCGATAGTCTGATCTCCTATCGAGGCTGAATATATCGTGAGATGTCCCTGCGTTAATGACTGAGAAATTTAGCATTGTATTAACAGTGAAGCGTTTGTATATATGACAATATCGACCAATCTAATCAAATCTCCTAGAAGACAAACATGTTTATATCTTCTTCACAAGGAACTTACATCATGTATAAACCATTACAGTTTCTTTAAAAAATTTATAAGTTAAACACATTGACGATCGGGATCATTCGACGAGTCGATTAAAACCCCCTTTTTTGCTCAATATCCTAATATAATTAAGCTTGAACGACGACATCAAAATTGAAGTACTGGGGTTCTCTTTATTTATCAATGGACAACATTTTTCATCCTAACCCTAATGCTTTATTTTCGGTAGGATGAATTATTATGATAAGTGCATAATATAATTTTGAAATGAATCGAAATGAGATAAATACATCATACCATGGCACAAACAACAAAGGACAGGAACGGAGTGTATGCTGGAATTATTCAAAGAAATAAAGTGATCATATGATGACAAATTATGTCACACCCCTAAATATAATATGTAAAGGGGACATCTCCACCCGCGGTAAGACTATTAAGATTAGCACGAGGTCCTAATGTAATGTTTGTCATAATTGATGACGTCATCTTATTGTGACATGGTTACACTACATGAAGTGTAAGTGGAATGCACTTTTCATTCTTTCATTCGATTGGAGATGAGATAGGGAACAGCAACCAGAGAGTAAATTTATTAAGTTGGAAAGTACGAGATTTGCCAAAATAATTATCGTCTTCTTTTCCCGAGAGTTGAGATCCCCATGTCGCATCTACAAAGAAGTGATTTTTTTCTCTTTAAGTAATTTAATTACTGGACATTGTTTAAATGACTTTATTTTATATTATGAGGAAATTAACCGTCTGTACTCTTGGAGGACAAAAACAATCTCCAACCGGCAAAAGCGTGGATGCATTCGTCCATGATATAGGAAATAGGAAATCCAGATTTTTATCGATATTGTAAGATTTCCCATTGTTACACCATAAGGCAGAGAATGTCATAGCACGTTTATGATTTCAGGAGAACAATATAACAACGACTCATCAAGAATGCACACCATTGCGATGACGGCAACGTAGCATACAAAAAATGTGGACATGTAGAAGAGATATGATACATTCTTCTGATGCTAGGTGGATCTCTATCCTCGGTAAATTCTATTAAATGCTCAAACGCTCGGAAAGCGTTGTGTTTGTCAATGTATGTATATTAATTTAAATTCTTGATGACATGAAATCCTTTTTAAAAATCTTGTATTCTAATATACATGAACAGAGAATAAATTTGCGTTGTCTAGATGTTTGATGCACAAGCAACTTAATATCACTGTGGAACGTATGACGTATAAATGAAAATATGGAAATACAGCACATGGTATTTACTGATATGGAAGATTGTAACGTGGCACATTATAATATAAGTACACTTCAACCTTGTCAAACAATTTGCTTAACATTTTACAAAGAATACATTGCACTTTACAAAACTAGAATCTAGAATTTAGACGAAAAATATCTCCTGTTCCGGCTTTGTACATTAACATGTTGGCATATATTTGTGAGAATTTGTATGGCACATCTGTAGATGAGATGGTAGCGCAAAGAAACTAGGCGTCTTCCGCACTAATATCTTAGTAAATTCAAGCCTCCCGCATCATACAATGATATTAAAAAGAATGTTCTACTTGGATGCAAATTCGATAATTATGAAACCTAACTAAAATTATAGAAATAATGCTATTTCAAACAAAACTACATGTAATAATACTAAAATATTGTATATATTGCAAAACAATTCCAGTTGTTGCCTATAGCAAGTGGTCATCGGATATTTACAGCAATTCTCTGTCTCTTCAGAAAGCGATCGCAGAGTGCGAAAACAGATCATACATAAGAAAATCACTCGTCCCACAAAATAAGTACAATATCAAGGTACTAGGTGTCTGGCATTTCCTCTAATGGTATCCATAGTTTTGGAAAAGGCGCATGCGTAGCGGGTCTGCATTTGCGATACGGATCACTGATAGGAGGTCGCCATTGTCCATTGACACACGTGGCGCCACTTGGTCCTTCCAACACGAAACCTTCCTTACACCTAAATAGGATCCGATCTCCATGTCGTATTGTTTTCATGTAATGTCGGAAATCAAATATTGCACGAATACCATTCTTGTAAATTTTTCCATGTGCAATCGTTCCAGGATTTGGGCAGTAAACTGAAGAAAAAATCATTGTATATATACTTTTTTCGCAATATATATCTTTCTAAATGAAGGGATAAAGTAAGTGAAGCGTTGGTGCACACTGAAATGTATGATGAATGACTTATGATGTACTTACACTCCTCGCAGACTGGTTTTCCTCCTCTCCATAAGCCGAATTTACAGGTAAGAAAAGAGTTGTCGGCAGGCATGCCCCGAAGACGGTAGCCATTCCGGCAGATGTATTTAGCTCGGCTGTTGTGTCGTAAACCGTCGAACACTCTCAGACCATAGTCAACGTGTGGCGGGGGACGGGAACACGAGGCTACAAGTTCAAATACAGGCGTATTAGGTCATGATAAAACACCTGTATGATACAGTTTAACACATTATTTGGCTCTACCGTATCTAATTCTAATTTCGTGTTGAAAGTTGTTATTCTATTGTGTATTTTAATGATTACCTAGGAAATAACAGGTTCTTATGTTCCTGTTGAAGTAAGGAACGCACATATGGTAAATTCTACAAAAAAATAATAAAAAAAAATTTAAAAAATAAATAAATAAAATAAATACAGAAATGAAAAAATGATTACATGTCATTTGAACCAAATATACTGACCTGGTGCACACCCTGGTATCGAAGTCCATGTACCGTTGTAACATTCCACACGATTGGTTATATCCGGAACGAGGCCGTTCTTACAGTGATATTCCAGCTCGACACCGCTACGCACCCATTCGCCCTCTCGATATTTCTCCAGAGAGGCGTTAAGTATGTTGGGGACTTGGCACTGACCTGGTAATCAAATAATCTATAACGTATACGTGCATGCAGTTATATGTCAACCCCTGAAACATTTTTGCTGTTTGGAGGAAACATTTTCATAAATGGAATTCTAAGACTGCTGAACGTATCAGGTTTTCAAGAGTTGTGTAGCGTTGTTTATGTAATGATACATGCAGATTCCGACATATCAACAAAAACGCAATTAAAACTCAAAATCAATTGAACAAAGAGAGTATGAAAAGAACGCTTTGTCAGTAGATCATTGAAAAAGTACACGGAGAATAAAGCCGTGTGGTCTGGAAAGGTAAGCATCTTCTGCTTCATCGGCAAAACCCGCAATTCAAACATTGGCCAATCCTGCTAGGCAATGTCATTTTCTCGAATAGGAACAACGTCAGCAACAATCGAAACCAGAAAGTATGCTTACAGTGATCTAACGTAATGCCGTACAAGGGAAACAATTCATGAATATGACAAACTCTAAAGAAGAGCACAGGGGTATTGATAATCATCCGACAATAAAATCATTCATTCAGAATTTATGGACCACCCAAAATGATGTTTCAAACGAAATTTGGCCGAAATCAACGTCGGATTACTAGCATTGGAAAGCAGAACATTAATTATTCTCCACATTTGGGCCCACGCACCACAGTCATCTGGAGTCTAAGCAACTTTCTGAATTCAAGAAATTCCCTATTTGAGACTCCTTTCCAAGTCCCCAATTGCCCAGCCCTAATGATATTTCAGACAAAATTTGGTACAAATATGAAGAGCCGTTAGAAAATGGTAGAGTTTAATAATATAATTTCACCCAAATTCACGATTCACCACATCCCCAAATATTTCCTAAGTGATGATTCAGACGGAATTCAAATAAAATCTGAATTGAAGAAATGATTACGCCTCCCTTAAAATGTTTTAGATCACATTTGGTTGTAATACACTTAAGCACTATGGAGGAGGACAGTGGAAATGACGATGATAGACGAAACATGAAGGCTATGGGTCATCTTGATCCTCATATGACCTTAGAACTACGCGTATTATCAAGCAACAGGAGCACTGGGATTACATAACCAAAACGTTCCTAAAACAATGTAATTTATATTCAGTTGCACAGAAATTATAAACACTAATAACACTCGCTTGTAGTAGAATTAAATATGTTTTTGTGTGTGTGTGTGTGTGTGTGTGTGTGTGTGTGTGTGTGTGTGTGTGTGTGTGTGTGTGTGTGTGTGTGTGTGTGTGTGTGTGTGTGTGTTATGAAATACAATTGCGTGATGTCATTGCGTATAACACTACATACCCCAGCATGTAGGTGGAGGAGATGACCATTCGCCGTTCTCTAAACATCTCGTAGACAGCGAGACTCCATCAAAATTGGTACGAACAAGGCAACTGTACAAAAGAAATACGCGTCACCCACTGTACGAACAGATTTACAACAATGGCGGGCAAAAAGCAAATTCAGCTGTAAGTCAAAAAGATGTATTCCAGAAAATAGATACAAAAGTATTATTAGACAGTCGATGTCATAGGTTTTGAAAAGATACCCTTTCATTTCCAAAGGACGTCTCGATTTCCACCCTTCCCAAGACACACACCTGACCACCTGCAATACATTATCATTACCCAGTACTCTATATTAATCATTGATCTTAAACCATTCCTGGATTTTTGTCCAATTTCGGTTGTAGGGATGAAACGGTGAACAATTCTGGAGAGAAAAAATTGCACAAAAATCTTTCTTAAGATCCCCTATCAAACGTTTCAATGACCAAGACGGAAGACGTTCCAGTGGAATTAAAAGAAAAGGGGGTCTCACTAAGTACAAAGAATGTAATCACAAAGTTTCATTTATACTGATGTAATAAAATAATTATCGCCCCTCGGCAGGGGGATGACATGGACCGCTGTTTGCTCGGAAGCGGTAATATATCCCAATGGCTTCCTTCTACCTCTACAATCACATGCCCTTCCCACCTCTGGCCACCAATTTCCAACCTGGTCCTCAACCAGTTAATTTCCCTTTTACAATTTCATTGTCTTTTCCTCCTATACACTACCGAACAGCTGAGTATTCACTATTCCGAGACTCAGTGACATTTCCTGGGCTCTATATTTCGTTATTTTCGTGGCAAGTATAAAATTGCGAAAAATAAATTCCTTGAAAATAAGAAGCCAATAGAGAATACAACCGTCCAGTTAATCTCGAAAATTTAAACTATCGAAAAAAAAGAGACCGTCTTTTCCATACATAGTGAAAACGGATCAGAAACTACTATTACTATTTCAACATGGAACTAATTTGGTGACTGGTGTATAGAAATTACAACAGGATTGTCAGGACGGCATCGTTTCATTCTATACAGTGATTTGTCGAAACGAGTGAAAATTGATTTGGTGTGCACATATGTAATGGTTTGGGATAGTGACAGTGATTGTTTGTGTATGTTAATTGGCAAATGTTACCGTAATGATTGATCTTAACATTGATTTTGAAACCTCGACATTCATGTCTATTTTTCATAACACACAAGCTACACTCACCCGAAGAAAAGCTCGGAGCCCACGGTTGTTGATTCGCCCAGGACAAAGCCGTTATAGAAAGGGCCCGGCCAGAGACATTTAACCTCTGTGATAAAAAGTTGGTCTGTAAGTAAGCAAGGCATTGGTAGGTTTGTTAAGAGATAGAAAGGTTAGGCGAGGGAAGTACACAAGCTTTGGATGACATGACTACACCAACACATCACATTCCAGGTCTGCGAACCTTTGTCGAGTCAGAGTTCATCTCTACTTGTCATAACATCGTGAATATCACACGCAAGTTCATAAATTACATACAGCATAAAAAACTACAAGACTCTTGATCACAAGGAACATCTTAGCAATATAGCAATACACACGTTTACAACAGACATGCAATCAATAACATAACCTTTACGTGAAATCAGTTGTCATGCTGAATCAGTTTATCTTTTTTATCGGTAAAACGACACCACTAAGTTAGTTAATCCAAATAGATGAACTCTGATCCCACTGGCTGCAAGATCTCGGAGTATGTCCGAACGTGTACGAGACTTAACCACTTGTAACGAGACTTACTATTGGGCGAGTCCCATCTCGAGCTCGAGAATTTGTTTCGAGAGGAGACACCTGGAGAGCGAGCTAGAAGTCAACAATAGGAGAAACGTCACAAACAATGACGTTTTTCTTCTAAAATATACCTACAATGCTATTTTCTAGTACAAAACAGACACTGTTTTGTTCAAAATGGAACGATAGCAGGTTTTTAAAGAGAATATATCGATGATGACAATTTTGTCCTCAAAATGTCTTTCTCGGGAAGTTTTGAAATTCATTTACAGAAATAAAACAAATTATGAAGCACAGAACTATTATATCGGAGTATGTAGATATGTTTTGATCAGCATGATGACAAAATATACGATTCTGTGTAAGTTTATTACAAAAAAGTTTTTAATTAAAGTTAAAAACAAACATATAATAATAACCGTATTCTAACAGGAAGTGCTCGGTTTATCTTTATCTATAGATTTTACCTTGACACAGAACGGGCTCGCCGCTCCACGTTCGATCAGCTAGACAACGCCTCTCCTCAGAACCCGATAGCTGGAATCCTTCTTTACATTCAAACCGCAGAACAGTTCCAAATGCATTCCCAGAGCCCACCATCGTCCCTTCAAGAGGAGCTTCCATTTCCGGGCACTCCACGGCTTTTACAAATATGAGTATTACATTTTATAAATAAGTCGTTTCAGTAATCCAAAATGAATATATAATCAGTGTATGAAGAAGAACACAGGATGTACAGTTTCAATAGATACTTGTTGTTGGGATGACACTTTGCTGTGTTTATTCCCCTAGTAGCTGGTGACTACTTTACATAACACCATACGGGAGACCCGTCACTTTCCATCTATTAGGGTGAATGTCTTGCCAAAGAATACAATCACGGCAACACAGAGCGGTCGTTTTCTCAGCTTCCTGTAAAACCATAGACCACCATGGGGAGGAACTGTCAAGCTACAGTGTACGCATTAGAGATTTCACCTGAGGTTACGTAAACAAATGTTCTAACCGACTTCGCTATTGCGACGGTTTGTTAGAAAGATACAGTGATTCAAGGTCACATGATGATAGCGGGGATTAATTACAAGGGATGTCGGCAGAAGACTTCTTATAAAGCTAACGTGATACTGGTTTACTCTACAAAGGTCACAAACAAACTGATTGCACATAATAATACTTCGTTGTTGTCGGTGGAGCTGACGACTTTTGGTCTTTTCTGAAATCCTTGTCTTAACCCCCTTGTGCTATGTCAAGAGTCTACATATAAATAACTCATTGTTTACATGTTTATCCGCGTTGTTTACCTATTGTCATTGTCAATCTTGTTGGTTTTTACGTCTTAACCGTAGCTCCTGATGGCGGATATATGGTGTCCGAGGTGACTATGTGTTTCTGTAGCAATTTCGTGTGTGAAAGCGAACTATGCTATCGGTAATTAAGTGTCGGTATCCAGTTAAGAATAATCCCTTTGTGAAGGTTCTAGATGATAAAAATTCAAAGTATTGGGGACAGTGTTTTCTACTGATTGCTCTTAAGGTCATGACCTTCTCTGGTCATGGCTGTAAAGTCTTATCGATCTATCGACATATTTAAGATTTCTTTTCATGTAACAAAATGGGGGAATAAAATCGGCAATATAGCGATGACCATGAAGAGCCGGGATTAGGTTTGTGGCTCTGTGTAAAGAGTTAATTGATATTTCACTCTTGACGCTTTTAGCCACAACGCAATATTTCGTGTAATCCAGTATGATAGCCATTCAAGTTCAGTTCCTTTCAAAGTAAGAATCTTTCGATACTCTAGATGGAAGTCAAAATGGTTAATTGGACAGTCGAGATATTTAGGACAATGTGCAAAAAAAATTATTTTAATCTTGTAATATTACTTTATCAGATGATTAACACTATTGAGTGAAATGAGGCCCCAGGTTACCTAACAAACGATTCTGTCTTTTGTCCATAACACATCGGTTGGTATCTATTGATTAAACAGACATAAGTCTCCAAATATTTTTGTGTCGGTGTAAATCACTAACTGGACGCCATCACTCCATACACTTGAAGAAAACATAATAAAACATATTGCATTCAACTTTGAAAGTTAAGAATTTACGAGTTCACCTCCAAGTCTATATTTTGACATTCATTTTGATCAATTTAGAGTACAAAGGGTTGACATTGCTTGTGGAGTTTAGTCCTCAAGGTTTTCCAATACATTCACACTGAGTTATAATTCATACTGTACTTCAGACATCACTGCCAGGTTCTAGAGATCGACACAGCTGTATACAGTTTTATTTATTGTCTGGCTCTACTGAATCTAACACTAAAATTGTACCAAGAGGTGCAGCTCACTTTCTTGTCTTTTGTACAATTCTCTTCTGATAGAATTCAACATTGAAAATGAAGAAAGTTTAACTATTGGTTCACTGTACCAGTCTGGTCTTTGAATGACATCTTTTTCGATCTATCAGGATTTCCCTCGGTCACCTCTTTAGGTATAATAATATAGGCCTTTAGTACAAAAGACACCGAGTCCTATAAGGAGGAAAACGCTGTATGATGCAGTTGAATTAATTATTTGACTCTGCTGTATTTTAAATATCCTTTTTACTCGTGTGTGTGTTTTACAATCATTATATCTGCCATATTTTCTCTATATTTACCCGTATTACCCAAATTTCTCCTGCTGGTCAAACATAGGTTTTGGTCAGTGTGTTGTTGTATTACCTATACATTTTGGTAGAAATCCCGACCATTTCTTGTTTTCCTCACAGGTCCGAGTTCTCTGTCCGATCAGTTCGTAACCCTCGTTACAATGGTAATTGACTGATTCTCCGAAGAAGAAGCGATGCCCCGACTGCCAACCGTTCACGAGGTTCCCGGGAAAGCCACAATTGATCGCTGCAACAGGATGAAAACAAAAGGGAGATAACCCAGATGTCTCATCTGTGGAACTATATTGTAAACACTTTATATATGTTTACAATTTCACAAAAGCACACATAGGAAATTGAAACATGTGGAGGTATACCACAAGTAAGAACAATGTGGAATCGCCCTGATAGTCGGAAATCAATATAATGTAGCCTCCATTTTCCTTTATAAGGTAAACTTATATTTCGGGATTTCCACCAATAGGTCGATCAGCAAAATGGACCAATATTAGTTATGCGATCAACGATTTTCAAATTCCAATATCGCCTCCACCCAGCCATCTTGGTTAAGATCTTTCACAAGATGCACAGATAGGAAAACGATAAACTTACAAAAATAGTTTAGAAGCAAATAACATTGAGGAATACCATGATAAGAAATCGCAAACTGTTGATGGTGATCTAAATTGCACTTCAGTTTAAGAATATTTGAACATTATGTAAGAAGCTCTGTACAAATTTTGCAACAGGGAAAGATATCGCTGCAAAACAAAAAATGTCATTAGATTTCATACGTCTACATATTAGTCTGATTCCTAGCCAAGTCCAATCGCCGTCCGTGTTACACATGGCTCTCGGATCTCCCTCCATGTCGTAACCTCGATCACACGCATACGTCAATTGTTGCCCGGATGAAAACGTCCCACCAGTCTCGATATCCATAATGATGGCATTCGTGATGATTGGCGGTGATCCACATGTCACTGTAAAAAGGTTTGACAAAAATCAATTGTCATGATCGATCGATCGCCCCACTTCTTTAGAGTGTGACTGAACAATTTCAGAAGTAAAGAAACTGACTTGTTACATATTATTTTCAAGTATAAGTAGCACCAGCATATTAGTACAGTGGCATAGGTTGTTCTCTGCTGTATCTTCCTATGTAACCTAACTTTCTAATATCTCATTGTAGGGTTTAAGAGAATCTATTACCTATATGTGTTCATTGATCTCAGTAGAGAGCGGACATTGTGTTGCCTAACAAATTCTTATTTGAAGCGAAAGCAAGAGAAGGTTATAGATTGATTTCAAAGTATACAGGGAATAAATTATATTTCTCGTACGTAATTTTCTCAAAATTGCCTACAAAATTCACGAATAATTTCATGTTTAATTTCCTCGATTCAATAAGATAATCTCCCTTTGCGGTTATTCGTCATTCCGACTTAATGTCGTCTTGATTGAAGACTGAAGTACTTTTGCGTAGATACCAAATCAACCCACTATATTATTTGTGAAAACTCAATATGAAGGAATACTCTAATGAGGTGACCTACATTGTTTGCCTTATGACAGACTGGTAGCTGAAAACGAGAAAACAATAGGGCACATATAATGTCTGGTAATGATAGAGACCACGAGAAGTCAAGAAAATTGTCTACAGTACCGAGGATATTTCAAATAACGGTCCCGGTCCCGAATGAAGTGGCGGAAGTATTAAGTGACAAAAACGATTCTCTTATGTACGTATTGAATTCACACCGGTATCAGTGGGCATTTCATATGCCGATACGATGCGACAAAAAATACCAAAATGACCGTGAAACACATCAGAAAAACGTCCAAATTCCAGTGTGGTTAGATACAAAAGCTGTCCTGCGTTGGTTAAACTCTCTCTCTCTCTCCCTCCCTCCCTCCCCCCCCCTCTCTCTCTCTCTCTCTCGCTCTCTCTCTCTCTCTCTCTCTCTCTCTCTGTCTCTATTTCCACTTAAGATATCATTTGATATAAATTGCATTTTTATATTATGTTCGAAATTGAATACATACCGACTTTCTTCTACTGTTCGAGAATTCTATTTGTATTAGCTTAAAATACAGTACCTGTAATGATCAACTATTTCTCGGGGTTATATCAAACTTGTCCATATAGACCAATCTGAGTTATATAACCATGACATTCATACTAAGGGGCCCTAGATCATACATTATATCGACAGGATGCAATTTACAACAAATGATAAAAAGTTCAATAAACGAATGAAAGACAGAACCTTCTGTAATCAAGCATTTTCATATAGATAAACTTTTGCACAGACAATAACGGAAATTTATTCATAAATACCATAAAATAGAGACACGGTTAACGTGTGCTCACAAGAAACCCAAACAGCGTTCAACACCTCAGTATACCGTAGTGCTCTCTCTCTCTCTCTCTCTCTCTCTCTCTCTCTCTCTCTCTCTCTCTCTCTCTCTCTCTCTCTCTCTCTCTCTCTCTCTCTCTCTCTCTCTCTCTCTCTCTCTCTCTCTCTCTCTCTCTCTCTCTCTCTCTCTCTCTCTCTCTCTCTCTCTCTCTCTCTCTCTCTCTCTCTCTCTCTCTCTCTCTCTCTCTCTCTCTCTCTCTCTCTCTCTCTCTCTCTCTCTCTCTCTCTCTCTCTCTCTCTCTCTCTCTCTCTCTCTCTCTCTCTCTCTCTCTCTCTCTCTCTCTCTCTCTCTCTCTCTCTCTCTCTCTCTCTCTCTCTCTCTCTCTCTCTCTCTCTCTCTCTCTCTCTCTCTCTCTCTCTCTCTCTCTCTCTCTCTCTCTCTCTCTCTCTCTCTCTCTCTCTCTCTCTCTCTCTCTCTCTCTCTCTCTCTCTCTCTCTCTCTCTCTCTCTCTCTCTCTCTCTCTCTCTCTCTCTCTCTCTCTCTCTCTCTCTCTCTCTCTCTCTCTCTCTCTCTCTCTCTCTCTCTCTCTCTCTCTCTCTCTCTCTCTCTCTCTCTCTCTCTCTCTCTCTCTCTCTCTCTCTCTCTCTCTCTCTCTCTCTCTCTCTCTCTCTCTCTCTCTCTCTCTCTCTCTCTCTCTCTCTCTCTCTCTCTCTCTCTCTCTCTCTCTCTCTCTCTCTCTCTCTCTCTCTCTCTCTCTCTCTCTCTCTCTCTCTCTCTCTCTCTCTCTCTCTCTCTCTCTCTCTCTCTCTCTCTCTCTCTCTCTCTCTCTCTCTCTCTCTCTCTCTCTCTCTCTCTCTCTCTCTCTCTCTCTCTCTCTCTCTCTCTCTCTCTCTCTCTCTCTCTCTCTCTCTCTCTCTCTCTCTCTCTCTCTCTCTCTCTCTCTCTCTCTCTCTCTCTCTCTCTCTCTCTCTCTCTCTCTCTCTCTCTCTCTCTCTCTCTCTCTCTCTCTCTCTCTCTCTCTCTCTCTCTCTCTCTCTCTCTCTCTCTCTCTCTCTCTCTCTCTCTCTCTCTCTCTCTCTCTCTCTCTCTCTCTCTCTCTCTCTCTCTCTCTCTCTCTCTCTCTCTCTCTCTCTCTCTCTCTCTCTCTCTCTCTCTCTCTCTCTCTCTCTCTCTCTCTCTCTCTCTCTCTCTCTCTCTCTCTCTCTCTCTCTCTCTCTCTCTCTCTCTCTCTCTCTCTCTCTCTCTCTCTCTCTCTCTCTCTCTCTCTCTCTCTCTCTCTCCTTCCTCAGTTTACATAACCCGACTACAAATTAACCGCTTGTATCTTTAACGTTTTCTTTCACTTACCATTTATTATGCTGTGATATTCGCATAGGAATGTTCACCAAAACGTGAAAGCCTTTCGTCCTATTTTTTCTTCTTCTTTTTTATTTTATCATTTTTAAAATATTGTTGAAAATCTCTCACACAACTAAAACCTCTGAATGATGAAGAAAAATAAAAAATAAACACGTCCAAGAATAGATATTGGTATGTAATATATGACTATTTCCTGACAGAATAAGTAGTATCATACTCCTAACGATCAGTCTGGGTACCCTGTATCTCTATCAGGACATTATATATACTTACATTTGGTATCTTATAACCAACTACAAAACACATATAGTGAACTTTCTGTCAATCCAAAGAATACCTGAATTGAAAGAACGTGATATGCAAGATAAACTGACGATAAATTTGTAAACCTCCTGAACCAGTCACGTCATCATCAGACCCGTGAATTACTGAAGTCTCCCATAAGATAGTCACAATGTATTCAGTGTTGCACTATATGTAGAATTATTTCATGTTTGTGAAGAAAATTTTGACAGTTCGAAGATTTTCTTTTGTACGCGGTCTATGCATATGTAAAGAAGAACATATCAATGACTATCCTTGCTATCTCTAACTGATCTCGAAAAAGGTTTGTTTCTTTAAAGGCAGTTTCTTTGATGTCATTGGCTTTAGAGCCATGCTCATGGCAACCAAAGCGCAAGAGCCGAATTATAGTTCCTAGTCACAGTGTTAGATTAGACAATGAACAGATTGATGTTAATAGTACATGAGGTTACTGCTTTAGCAATTAATGGATCGTGTGCCTGTAGCACCATATATAGTGAGGCCGTGATTTAAAGTACTTTTGAGTTTTTAATTGCTATGCCGACTGGCAATGAACATGTATATTAGATGAAGAGCGCTATATTTGATTCTATAAATAGTCAACAGATAAGTACTTGCTGTACCTTGTGTAAGTATCGTGGATCAATAGTTCGATTTCGGTAACTTATTTTGAGTGAAGCATCATCTGTATAAATACCGAAAAAAATAGCTATGGAGTGATGTTTGTTCTTCTGACGTCACCAGACGCATGATCGCTGTAAATATTGGTGGCCAAATCGAGGCACTGACGTAACTAAATCGAGGCTGAGTCTACCGATACAATGAACCGAATCCTTACAACGCATCATCAATCGGGAATCCGTCATACCGCATCTTACTCAAAAGTCTCGGTTTAATTTATTGAAAGACGTCGTCGTATCAACACTGAAATGCATTACTTCTTTACCGGTAAAATATTGGGAATTTATCAATAAACAAAATTTATATCATCCCTGCAGTGATGATTAAAGAAATATTTTATAACTTTTCCAGTCGTAACAGAACATTGCTTTCTATTCACTGCTTTGAAATTCGCCGATTTTCCTGATCGCACGCAAATGGAGCGAAGGTTAAAGTTGGTTTCTATCAATCAACAATTCTGTTGTTTTTCTATAAATTGGTACATAAAACAGTGAAGTAAGCGATTTTTACCAAATAAGAACATAAAATGATATATGTTATATGTTAAACAGACGATTTATTATTTGCGTCGTCTTATCGTCAAGGTAACGTCGATATCTTCAGAGTTGTCATTCCTTACACGCACTTGTAACGTCACAAGTTTATTTTATCTATATGGCGGAATATATATATATATTTTTAACTTGTACTTCGTACTTGCGAAAAGTAGAGATATTCTGTTAAAATCATTAACTATCCGCTTATCTCCGAACCTCGTCATATCCTATCATCGTCAAAGTGAACCTTAAGGAATCACTATACTATAGGAAGACAACATAATAAAAACGTGGTATTCAGATTTCAAGTATCATGAGTTACCTTTCTCGCAGCTCGGCTCACGTCCTCCCCACGTGCCATCCGCGAGACATTCGCGCTCCTCCCGCCCAGCCAAGAAATAACCATGTTTACAGAAATATTGCAGTTTGGCTCCTGTTGTTATTTGAGTTGGAGGAATAATTCCGCCGTTCTCGATTATAGTGTTGTTTAGAGGACACCCGGCATCTAAAACACACGACATGTGAAAGAATATATCAACGACCCGAAATAAAATTATTACACGCAATGTTTAATCAGATTTGTTATTCAAATGGTGCAATTTGATTTCGTTTGTTGTACTATCTTTCAGTTAGTCATACAAGGAAAACCATAACTCCTTTCCATCTGCTGCAGTTTGTGTCATACACCTTTCATCAACATTTTTCTTTCCCGTCCATTTACATGTATTATCTCTTTACATATACATCGTAACTGAACTTGAAGCCTTGTTATAGGATATACCATTACTACTCACGACTACATGTCATGTTGGGTCCCACCCATCCACTCCGCACACACCAGGCACGGAAAATGCTGCCCCTGTTTGATGTGAAGCCCGGATCACACTCGTACTGCAGCATGACTCCTTGTTCATACGACATCCGCCATGGCTCTCTGTCGTGCTTAGCATTGTGAACCACCGGTGGAGGTCCACATTCTGTGGTCACTAACATCAGGAAGTAAAAACACATATCATAAAATTATTAACATAACAAAAACTGATCGGAAAACTTCTTTAAAACATGACTTCGCTGTATGTGATAGAAACAGTGCTAATATCACATATTATAAATATACTATGCCCTTAATGCTGACAATGCAAGTAAAAAAGAAATAATTTAAAAAAAAAGTTTCCGTTTCCTAAATGCTGCGGAGATGCCCCCTACAACAGGTCAAAGGTGTTTTATACCCTCGGATGCCCATACTCGTTTCAAAGCAAAGCTTGGACCAAAATGTCTGTCACTTCTTTTGATACAATGACCGGAAGATATCGTTAGCTTAGGGGGAGGGGAGGTCGCGGAGGAATTCTCCAGGGGACAGTATACAGACACAGTGGACAGTATACAGACACAGTGGACAGTATACAGACACAGTGGACAGTATACAGACACAGGGGACAGTATACAGACACAGTGGACAGTAAACAGACACAGTGGACAGTATACACACACTGTGGACAGTATACAGACACAGGGGACAGTGTACAGACATAGTGGACAGTAAACAGACACAGTGGACAGTAAACAGACACAGTGGACAGTATACACAGTGGACAGTATACAGACACAGGGGACAGTATACAGACACAGGGGACAGTATACAGACAGAGGGGACAGTATACAGACATAGTGGTCAGTATACAGACACAGGGGACAGTATACAGACACAGGGGACAGTATACAGACACAGGGGACAGTATACAGACACAGTGGACAGTATACAGACACAGGGGACAGTATACAGACACAGTGGACAGTATACAGACACAGGGGGCAGTATACAGACATAGGGGACAATATACACACACAGTGGACAGTATACACACACAGTGGCCAGTATACAGACACAGTGGACAGTATACAGACACAGTGGACAGTATACAGACATAGGGGACAGTATACAGACATAGGGGACAGTATACAGACACAGTGGACAGTATACAGACACAGGGGACAGTATACAGACACAGGGGACAGTATACAGACACAGTGGACAGTAAACAGACACAGTGGACAGTATACAGACACAGGGGACAGTATACAGACATAGGGGACAGTATACTGTCCACAGTGGACAGTATACAGACAGAAGGGACAGTATACAGACACAGTGGACAGTATACAGACACAGTGGACAGTATACAGACACAGTGGACAGTATACAGACACAGTGGACAGTATACAGACACAGGGGACAGTATACAGACACAGTGGACAGTATACAGACATAGGGGACAGTATACAGACACAGTGGACAGTGTACAGACATAGTGGACAGTATACAGACATAGTGGACAGTATACAGACACAGTGAACAGTATGCAGACACAGTGGACAGTATACAGACACAGTGAACAGTATACAGACGTTGGGGCCGGTTTCTTCGTTGGAGCAAGAAAATAAATCAACATTATAAAATAAGTTAAGTGTTTTCACCTGATGACATCTATGTACCTTCAATCTTTAACTATCTCTGTCCCTTTTTATCGATGCCACAATAAACTGACTTGAACGTGACCTGAAAGAGGGCGGTATTCGGCGTTGTCAAGGTTTAAGAACCATGAACTACACGATATACGAGGATTGGTTGACTAATATCGTTTCATTTTACTTGTTTTCACGATATGACAACTAATACTCCTTATTTCGTACCACGAAGTTGACCCACCTGTGGCCTCAGCACTGACAATACATTCCGGTTCCTCGTTACTCCACTTCCCGTCTCCCTGACAAACGCGCCTGGCCACGCCCCTAATCTCGTACCCATCGTCACAGGAGTAGCGAGCCACAGCACTGAACTTATTGTAGGGCACCACCTGCACAGACCCGTGTGTGATCCGTTTCGAGAGAGTCGTACATTTCATATCTGCAAAACGAACAAAAACAGTTTTTAAATTCAAAAGATGATAAGAAAACTACATACTGTAGAGCTGTGTAAACTCTACGAGCCTGCTTTTTTGCGGTTATGACAGTCGTAACCAGTTCGTGTCGATTAAATTGTGTGCGACAAACAAGTAAACAGGCCTAGGTAATAGTTAGAATATCATTATTGACAAGATTATTTAATTATACCGAAGTAGCAAGGAGACATATTTAGGGAATTGGGGACATCCACTGGAAAAATTATTTATAGCCCATCGACTAGAAACACTTTGAGTCCATTGAACAGAAACACTTTAGATCCTATTGAACATAAACACTTTAGATCCCATTGAACAGAAACACTTTAGAGCCCATTGAACAGAAACACTTTAGAGCCTATTGAACAGAAGCACTCTAGATCCCATTGAACAGAAACACGTTAGATCCTACTGAACTGAAACACTTTAGAGCCCATTGAACAGAAACACGTTAGATCCTACTGAACTGAAACACTTTAGAGCCCATTGAACAGGAACAGAAACACTTTAGAGCCCATTGAACAGAAACACTTTAGAGCCCATTGAACAGAAACACTTCAGATCCTATTGAACAGAAACACTTTAGAGCCCATTGAACAGAAACACTTCAGAGCCTATTGAACAGAAACACTTCAGATCCTATTGAACAGAAACACTTTAGAGTCCATTGAACAGATACTCTTATGAACTCATTGAACAGATATTCTTTAAACCCTATGGAACAGAAAATCTTTTGAACCCGTAGACAGAAACTCTTCAGAGCCCATTGGAAAGAAACACTTTAAACCCCATGGAACAGATACACTTCAGAGCTCATTGAACAGAAACTTTTTAAACCCTATGAAACAGAAAATCTTTTGAACCCATAGATAGAAACTCTTGAGACCCCATTGAACAGAAACACTTTAGAGCCCATTGAACAGAAACACTTTAGAGCCCATTGAACAGATACTCTTCAGAGCTCATTGAACATATACCTTAAAACCCCATGGAACAGAAAATCTTTTGAACCCATAGACAGAAACTCTTTAGAGCCAATTGAAAAGAAACACTTTAGAGCCCATTGAACAGAAACACTTTAGAGCCCATTGAACAGATACTCTTTAGAGCCCATAGAACAGATACTCTTTAGAGCCCATTGAAAAGAAACACTTTAGAGCCCATAGAAAAGAAACACTTTAGAGCTTATTGAACAGATACTCTTCAGAGCTCATTGAAAAGAAACACTTTAGAGCCCATCGAACACACACTCTTTAGAGCCCATAGAACAGATACTCTTTAGAGCCCATTGAAAAGAAACTCTTTAGAGCCCATTGAAAAGAAACACTTTAGAGCTTATTGAACAGATACTCTTCAGAGCTCATTGAAAAGAAACACTTTAGAGCCCATCGAACACACACTCTTTAGAGCCCATAGACGGAAACTCTTTAGCGCCCATTGAACAGATAATCATTTGACTCAAGTGTCCTTCGAGATGATTACGATATATATGCATTCATCATCTTTACGATCGATCTTAATATTACGTTGGCGATCGACTAAGCTTATAACTGTGTATATGTACACCGACATGCAGACTGACAGATGAACGGACACAAACAATAGGTCTGGACTTAAGGTAAAATTAATCCTTTAGCTAAACAAACAAATAAACAAACCAATTAACACACAAGCATATCCATACAAGAACATGGCATGTACATTCACATCAACAAGAACTGATTCTAGATATATATATACAATTTATTGGTAATAAAGTTCATCTCAACACTGACATTATCCGTCCCTAACCCCTAGGTACTCAGATGTCGGACTCGTAAAATCCAGGTCGTTTTGTGATTGACATCTCATTCCAGTGGTCTGACAATAAAAGCTCCTTGTGATCTACTCACAGGCGGAGGATCCGTTTTTATCTTCTGGAGACAATGAAAATAACCAATTAAAACCGTTTATGCCCTAACAATGCCATGGTTTATATATCTATCCACAGACCACTCCTATCGAAGTTGAATTCCTACGGATAATCAGTCATGTTGTTTTGTGTTTTTGGAATATAAGAAGTTTTTGTGGCGACAACTTCTAGTGGTGGTCTTGATATCCTGATTTTCTCTCATTGAGTTGGCAGAGTAAAATGTATAATGGTCTGTGAAACCTTGGGTCAAACATTTAGGTTAGAGGTCTCCAAAAGGAAAAAAACCCACTGTAACAGCTCCAAAAAAATTACAAATTCATCAAAATACAGGGGACAAAAAATAGACCGAAATAACACTTTCCTGTTGTTTAATTCATCACAGTGCAAAGTTGAAGAGGAATTACATTAGATTTCACACATTTCTGAACAATTGTCTTATGAATATTTAGTACATGGCGGTGCCACCGATGGCCAATACACATGTTTTTTTAATGTAGGTAACATATGGAACATTGTCACAGTCCCAACCATAATTTTGTACATTTTATCTGTTTATATGTATGAAATAACATCCCAGTTATTCTGAACATTTCATACATGTATTTAATGAAATAATTTTGATAATATCTAAACTAAATACTGTCTATCTATTTTTCTTAATAATTCCACGTAAAAGATTTAATTACGGATTCTCCGGATCCGAGTTCTTTATATTTGAATTTAGTCTCGTGAGAAAGGAAATGTACATGTAAGCGAGAGCAGCGGTGTAGATTTCGGCAGGTCGATAATTGCTTGTATGGGGTAGCCAGCGCAAAATACAGTAAGTTTGTAAACCTTTATAACACCCTTTTATTCCAATGTTTACCCGGAATCTGTTGTGTTTGGTATTTGGGCCGAATATTAAGAGATACATGTATATGCTTATAACAGCCGATGAGATACTAAATGAATATATGTATAGCTTAGTAATAGGAATGGGATATTTGGTTAGACATGGTTATATTATGTAATTACAGTTCTACCCCATGATGTTAGTGAGGACGATGATGATACTACTGGTACAGAGATGGTACATGTTTGTGTCCTATGTGGGCCAAGATAGCTGTTGCTAACGTACTGTGTGGGCAAGGCAGTGTAGCCTGATACCATGTCCTGTGTGGGCAGTCCTGTAAACATATGAGGTCTGGTGTGGACTGTTGCGGTATACAGTCTGGAGATAGACAGACCTATCTACTGTATATGCTGTCCTGTGTGGACAATTATAAAGATGTCCTGTGTGGGCAGTCCTAAGATGTCCTGTGTGGACCATTATGATGATATCCTGTGTGGGCACTCATGAGTTGTCCTGTGTGGACAATTATTGAGATGTCCTTTGTGGACAGTACTTGGTGCGTCTTTGGATCTGTTAGCAGGGAGGACATTTGTTCAATCCGGTGAACATTTGCTGACTGATGTAACGTTTTATAAGCAGGTCATCCAGAGACGTTTTTCAGAGTCTTTACCAGAGACACGTATAGATGCTTGGCTGTATAGACTTTAATATATATTTCTATAATTATAGTGTAAGTGTGGTTATGAGTGATGGAGTGAAGTGTGCTGAATTAGGGTAGGAGATATATCTTGTTATGTGTATATAGTGTAATAAACTTGTATATATTGTATTTTGGTTGTTTTAGCCATTCTTTGCGAGTCGCGCTCGTCCAGGTTACAAACATATCAAACTATGAACCTCAAAAATAAAATGCCAACTGAGAAAATATCCCAAGATGAATCCACGAGAGAGCATTATATGATATTACGAAACCATGATACAATTATTGACAAAACAGTGATGCATTACAAACAGTTCAGAAAAAACAACACACCACGAAGCAAAAGCACAACGGCTGGAGCTCAGAAAACATCACAAGGATCTAAGAAAACAATAC